TTGCTTAATTTCTCTTCTAACCGTGACTCTATGGCATGACGTCATTTTTCTGATCTACAAAGCTTCGAAGTCTTTATGAATACTCCTTGTGTTTTGGATGACCTTAAACAAACTGCGTACACGGATCGCTTTCATTATGTCCTGCCCCTCGTCACTACCACTACCACCACCGAAACCACAAAACCGCAGCGAGCTTCATGTGGTTCCATTAACCCCAAAAACAGTTTTGGAAGTAATAGCTGCACTAAGAGTCTTATACTTTTGTGTCCATTAATCGAACGGAACCAGATAAGTAACTATGGTTTGCATCTGCACAGAATGGGGTTTCGAGCGTGTCATGATGACAAGTGAAAAGAGTGATAAGCGTCAATTCCTAGGGAGTAATTAAGGCACTGCGGTGTCATATAAAGATCATAGGCATATCAGATATTTTTATTCTGAAGTGAAATTTTTCAAGAACTCAAAGGTGAGACGTCGAATTACTCCAGCATTAAGCGTGCTGTCGCAGACGCTCAATATGTTTTTCGTTTGGTTCTCTTAAGACTAATGTTACTTCAATTTAAAAGCGAAAGAAGACCTTTTTAGGCGTAGCTACCATAAGATAATTGGCCATTTCACAGGATTTTTATAAACGGGAATGTTCGGATCTTAGTTTATTGGTTTTAAATTACGCTGCTGACCAGTAGTAAATGATTTTTACACATTGATTAAATGAGTAGACTCAATAGTGATGTGCTCCGGTGACTTCGAACAAGAGCTTAACCTTGTGGGTTTTCGTTCATAAAATAATTGAAAATCCGTTTAAAGAGGCAACCTTTCACTGCCATCGATGAAGACCATTTCAAGGACGACATCTTAAGAATACCATTGTAAGCCGACTTTCATTTAACCTCGGTATAAATGATCAGTGTACCTTGTTTCATTTATAAGCTAACACGAGGTTGTTCACGTGTCACCTGTACCACCTGCAGTCTCGTTGATCATCGAGTGACTCAAGCGGGCGCCAGTAAATCTTCCATTTTTCCTTGTCGCATGCAAGAAACCAGTGGGCTCTGCTCGCTCTAGGGACACGTCGACCTTCAAATCTTTCTTCAAGGCTCGTTGTGAAAAACTCTGACCATCGGCACGATGGTCTTCCTGCAGTACGTTCGACATCCCGAGGAATCCAGCCACTAACCGTTCTTTTCCATCGGTTGTCATTCGTACGCATTACTTGTGCCGCCCACCTTATCTTCGAAAGTTTGGCGTACAGAACGGCACCTTTGATTTTTGTTCGTTAACGCAGATCGGAGCTTCGGACCTCATCCATTACTTGCGTGGAACGGGATACTCCTAGCATCGTCCTTTCGACTGCACGTTCGATAACGCTGACTGACCTTTCACCCTGCTTACGCAGCGACCAGGTTTCCGACGCATTCGTTAGGGCAAGAAGCACCGTTGAGTCGAAAAGGTGGGCACGGAGTCGGGTGTTCTCTGTTTTCTTCACTGCATCCTCGATGCTCTTGAAAGCTCTCCAAGCCGCTCATTTCGTTCTGCTCAGCTGTGGAGCTAGGTCGTTCATCACATTGATTTTCCGACCTAGATACGTGGATGAGGCATGGGAAATCAATCCGTTTCTCATGAACATAGTTTTTAGTGAAATTTGGTCGAAGACAGGCAATCTTCCACAGACTTTATCAACGTCGTCAAACATACGTTCCACTTGGCTTATGTTTGGTGTTATAAGGACGATGTCAACAGCAAAGCGAAGATGGTGTAACTGACGAACATCGATTTTCACTCCCATATTATCCCATTCCAATGTTCGCATGACGTTCTGGAGAGTGGAGGTAAATAATTTTGGCGAGTTGGTATTGCCTTACCTAACTCCCTCTTTGACGTCAATGTTAATATCGTTGCGGAACGGTGATACCTTGGTTGTGAAGTTTTTGTATAGCTCAGGAAGAATCTTTATGTACTGAATAGAGACTCCTTGACTATAAAGGACTTCCAAGGCTACTTCGATCTCAACTGAACCAAACGGCTTCTGTGAATCGATGAAAGTGAGACAGAGTGGTGTTTTCAACTCTCGCGTTACTTCAATGAATCGTGTTACCGTATGGATGTAGCCCATCGTACTAAATCCTTTTCGAAACCCTGCTTGCTCACATGGCTCTCCTTCGTCTAGTGTTATGTCAATCCTGTTTAGGATGACTCGAGTGGAAAGTTTGTAGACGACAGACAGCAAGCAGATTGGGCGACAGTTGCCCATAATGTTGAGGTCACCCTTGTTGAACAATAACACGGTCTTGCTGGTCTTCCACTGAGTAGGGACTTTGCATTCAGACAGGTAACGGGTGAAGAGCCGAGCCAGCGTGTTTACGAGGACTGCCGGAAGGTTCTTCAGTTGTTCTGGTCTTATCTTGTCCGGACCTGGTGCTGTTCGATTTTTCACCGACGAAACGGCATGTGTAACACGTGGTTGTTACCAATATTTTTTCGGCTAGCGTTTTGACGTCTTGGTCTTTCTCAAGGTCGATCGTTGGCTCTTAATAATGTGTTCTCCATCCGATGATAGAAAGATTTCTTAAGCTTTTGTCTAGTGAACACCCTGAACAGCTTTGGCAAGCGTTTGATTCAATAGCGACAGTTATTTTTCTACTTGTGTTCCATGTTGTTATACATATGAAATGTTATGTTGCCTACAATCTTCCACTTGCCCCTACATTTTTTTTGCTATCTATGCACGATGGGAGAGTGTGGCGCAGTGGTCGGAGTCGCCCTGCAACACATACGTGGAATCGATCCCTGCGCCAATGGCCCACTAAGCCTTCCATCTCTTCGGGTTTGGGAAATTGGTAAAGACTTGTCTGGGAGGATAGTGGCTCGATACATTAGTAGGCCACCGCTAATCATTGTAAAGGCCAAATATGCATTCAGTCACCTCCAAACGATGCTTCATGAAGTCGAATGCATGGCGCATTCCTCAGGGATTGATCAACGCCGAGAGCTTTATCCTTTCCTTTATCCATTTATAGTTTTATGACATGTCTTATGTCATGTGCCACGTTTTCTTACGTTTTTCTTGGCTGCTGAAAACAAAAACTTATGGTTTTTCTTTAACTTTGCATTTCAAAATCTTAAATGACATGGCAAGCTTGCTTCTGCATATTATTTCTTTTTTTGACACAGTGTTCATGCTTACAGTAGCGGTCAAGATTCTTGTGATCGTTCATTTATCGTAACGGGAAATACACGACCCAGTATTAGTGAACTTCCGTGTTCTTTTTCAGAAATTGAAGGAATTCTGTCTCTAATCTTAACAAGTACTTTATGCTTCCCACTGTTATTATATGGTACTTTTATGTCTTTTTCATCCACTACATGCAAACTGCTTCCAAAATCTAGTGATGACGTGGTTTTGTGACAGCGATGACCACCACCGCTTGCGCTATCGCTCATTCATTCCACTCATCATCCATTTTCGTCATTCGTACGTCATATTTCACAGTTACTGTCAGCAGTTTTTTATTTTTGCCCCGAATGCGTCATTCACTTTGGCGTGATTCTTGTCATGTGGATGACCATTTTTACCTCCATAATCAACAACTCGTCATCGATGATAAACGTGCCGAAGCAAATCATTCAAACCTTTAACTTGGAAAAAGAAACTTGAACATTGACGATATGGAAAAGGAAAAAAGGAAAAATAAAAATTGCGAGAAGATCGTTTAGGTGTTCTAGTTATTGATTAAACTCCTACGGTAGTCAATGTAATGTTTACAATAGTAATAATAATAGTAACGGCAGTAACAGTAATTAGTGCAGACCACGTTGCTACAAAACAATAAATTTCGGCCACTTTACGGCGAATTTCGATAACAGACAGTGCACGACGACTCCGCTGATAAATGTGAGAATTGCGACTATTCGATCGAATACTCGAATGTTCGGAAGCGATGACACGTCACGAGGCACCTCGCTTCGTTGCCACTCATCGTCATCGCCGTAGTCCAGCGCGATTTGCGTCATTTGTCATCGTCTGCCGAAAGCAAAAATATTTCCGTCACGTGGCACACAACCCGCTTTTTTCCGAATGGTTTTTAGGTGCGCCAGAAGTTCATCGTGGTTCTCATGTCGCTCTCGCTCTATTATAGTGTACTTTTGTTCCTCTTTCTATCCTTCTTTCTTAAGGGCGCGTGTGGCGCAGTGGTCAGAGGCGCCACTGCGACATCATCCATCCGGGGTCAGCAAATTGGTACCAGACTTGTCTGGGAGGATAGCAGCACTGGCTCGATACATCTTTAGGACACCGCGAGTCGTTATAAAGGCCAGATATGCATTCAGTCACCTCCAACGATTCTTAATGAAGTCGAATGCATGGCGAATTCCTCATGGGTTGATCAACGCCGAGAGCTTAATGGGTTTTTTTATCCTGATGACATGTGTTGTTCTAATTTGTGTTCTAGTCGTCCTTTATTTCTCATGTATCTAAAAACAAGTAAAACACTGCAAACCGAAACCCTACGGTGGTCACCGCCTGACTTGTTATGGATAGAGAGTGTTGGCGTTTCTGTGTAGCTGGAAACTGGATTTACAGCCGGTGATTATAGTCGAAGAATGGCCATTTCTCGTGCTAATATCTCAGCCCAGAGAACCAGATACATCTTGAGTAAAAGCAGATTCACGTACTCTTCTACAGTGGATAGCGGCTGACACATGGCGTTTGGCAGAGAATGACAAAAGAATATGTTTCATAAATGTGTGGAAATTGTTGTCTAATAAAGGAACTACCAGCTAGATGGAAATGCTGTTAAGATACGTATATTTCATCGTGTAGCCAAGCTACTGGGAAACGGTTCTGCTACATCTCTACTAATCGTTTTCTCACTATTCTTCGTTCATTTTCATACAAAAGATTTGTTTCTGGCACTTTTTTCGTAGCTTTATGCAACTTATCATAAAATAGCTGACTGATTACCTTTTTATCATCTTACTACATTACGGTGCTCAATTACAGCACTCCAATGGAAGCAGAGGTACGACGAGATTCATTCAAGACGTTCTGGGATAAATACTCTGATAAAGCGGATACAAACACGATGATGCTCAATCATACTGCCAACGATCTTGATGCCAGTGACAGGTACGCGATATCTCTGACAAAAATGCAGTTGACACCCGCCACAATTGATTTGCCTATATTGAGTACGAAAATGGGAAGAAGCTCACACGGCTGTTCTGTCTATGCCTCTTTTTCTTACGTAACCCATCACCGCATCTATTGTGCGGATCCCAGCACTTCCTCCATTCGATTTGTTTTCTCACAACCATCGTCTACAAAGGTCTTCTTTGAACTTCTTATGCCTGTGCTCGTGTGCTGCTTGAAGACCGTTGTCTTCTTTACGAATGTCGTTAAATGTTGACAGAGTTGATTTTCCTTGCGATCTTGGAAATAGCTGGGCTAAGGCGTTCCCACGGGAAGTGGAAGAGAGCGTCGAATAAAGGATCGAATTATCACCTTGTTTCCTGATGAACTGCAACACCAACCACTGAGCTACGACAACCACTCATCCGGATTATGTGCTTCTTAGATAAAATAGATACATCGTATCATTGGGTCTCAAAACTCCAGACCGCAGGTGTCTGCTGTGGTGAACGAACGCGTTATTGTCCTTTCCGAGGAGTAACGCGTTCACCACCGCACCATGCGAGTCCTTCGTTTCGTCTGTCTCTCAGCTAGTTCTATCGATCTTTTGCCATCAGCAATCACCTGTCAAAATTTTTTTGTTAAAAATATTGAGAGACAGTATTGCCCACTTGATTGATAATACTAAAACTATTACATAATATAGTTGAGTTATTTGCAAAATTCTGGATCACTGGTGTGCGCGGCTGGAACCGAACATGCTGTTACCCTTTTTGGGGTAACGCGCTCACCACCACACCATGTGGGCCCTTCGTTTCTCCTGTCTGTCAGCCGTATTATTGACCTATAGACTAGAGCTATTAATTTCGGAAACCACTCCAGCATTCAAATATGACTTTTCCGATGTTCATAGAAGAAATAGCATAGGTCAACTTAAAGCGTTTTCTGCACTCTTATTTTAACTTATGCTTAGCGCTCTATCGTTGTTGGGGATGTTGCTGGATGTTGAACTGCGGTACGGCGGTCCATCTAACAGCTTCGTCATGCATGCTGAAATGGTATTGGACATTTTCATCGGGAAACCTAGCTCAAAGGAATATACCACTGGAAACAGTCACTGTGCTAAAAAAATATGCTGTTGAGAAGACGGTATATGTGTTTAGACTGATAGCTCTTTTGCTCCGCCGAATTTCGTTTTCTGCCGAAAAAAAGCACTTTTAATGCTATCTTCTTCATTTGGTTGTTTTTCAAATATGATATTGAAACTACACGGAGTTTTTTCAGAGAAAATATCCTCTCCAGTCTTCCAGTTCTCACAAACAAGGACGTTGTGGACATTGGAGCAGGAATTGGGTACTTTAATTCGACTCGTTTCTTCCTTAATTTTTCTGTTTTCTTTTTTTTGCTGCACTTTAAACATCGTACTGGTATTCTATGATTCGTAATGTTTGTCTTTTATTTGGGTTTTCCATTGCGTTTGCTGGTCGGTAAGGAAATAAAATAAGCCAAACGTAATGATAACTTTTCTCCCAACGGTTTAGTGCTTCATCGTGGATGGGAGGTGATCTTGGATGTAGGGTTGCGATGTACAGCGGCGATTCATCTTATCGACAGGGTCTCTCAAGCTCAGAACGATTCCGGCGTTTCCCCCAGAAAGCCTAGCGAAGAGTATACCTATAGTGGCGACTGCGATGGATGCACTTGCGTGGTAGTGACCGTTGAGCCGCTCACTACTTAGTAGTAGTAGTTCAGTGGTGAGAATATTAGGCTGTAGTAAATATTAGATAGTGTACGGACTATCGACTAGTTGTTGTCTATGCTTGACTCTCGAAAGTGGATCTGCTTTGTGATCCTTATTATTTGATGGTTCTGCAATATAGGTATATACCCTTTGACGTCTGAGACGCTGTGAATTGAGAGTCAAGAAATAGGTATCGTAGTTTTAGGGTACTACAATTGATCTGTAGGCTATGATTGCCCAATGAACGAACGACTAGGGTTCCACGTGAGAGTTTTGGCGGTTGACTTGCTCCTTTGAGTTCAGCTCCACGCGGTGTTGATCTGCTAGCTTGGACGAATTGTATTTGCTCGTTCTTCGCCACGCGGGTCTTGTGGTTGTTGTCTTCACAGCGTAAATCTCAAACTTGGGTAATTAAACCATTTATACCAATATCATAATAATAACAAAAAGAAGATACTAAAAAACAGTATAAGTGGCGCGTTAATAGCAGGATTACCAAATAAGAGTAAAACAATCAGTAAAAAGATACCTTAAAGTAGGAGAGTAGTTGTATTGGCTATTGTGTTAATATGAGAGAGAGAGCTTTCATAAAAGTACAATTTGTGACCTATAGAGGTGAAGAGCATATGGTAGCGTGGGTACCAATGGGACCAGATGGTTGTTAGCGCGAATGGCATACCGTAATTAGCTACCGTACTAGTAGTGAGGAATGTGAAGAGAAAAGACAATGCTTAAGCCATTGAGGTGTTATCATACAACAAAACTACAGAATATTGCTTAACTCTTACAGATACAATGTCATGATAAGTATGTATACTAAGGAAGATCATTGCCTGTTTGAGAGGTTTTCCTAAAATAAAGTACGGTAGCACAATTCTATGACAAGAGGTGAACGAAGACGGTATGTGGCAGGAACTGAGATGGCGAGTGGGATGAAATCCGACATGTGGGCCTCACCAGCAGACCGCGGTCCTTTTATACTGCCTCAGGGGCGGGCAGATGGGTACTGTTGTTGACACTTGCGTCGTTCTCGTACATCACAATTATGGTGGCAAATGCATAAACAATATTGTGTTCCATCTGGTATTGAAAGGATATGATATTGTTTATACCAACGTATCCTTTATTCTTGACAGCCTCAGTTTGTGGGCAGATGCTGTTTATCGTTGGTGACCGCTCTTATTGTGCTGATAGATGCTAATTATAGTTGGGTGACCCGCTATCGTTGTTGTCGTTGTTGCAGATAATTCCTTGCGTTACATCTGGCTAGACGTCAATCACTACCAGAAGATATATAGAATAAAGTTACTATAGAGGATATTATTTTCTACTAGGTAATGTTTATTGGTCGACTTGTCGACAATACCAGTACCAGGATCCGCCACCGTCCTGCAATCAAACTAGTCGCATGGTGGCAAATCTCCCTCAGATCCACAAGGACTACGACAGCATGTCTAGGCGACAACCTGAGGCGAACTTTGGCCATGCCGAGCTCGGGACTCCAGGGAAACACAATGGCTAAATCAGCAACACTTCGAAAAAAGGAGCGTGCTGGAGCTGGCACAACCGGTGAGGGCAGGCCTTCCAAGCTCAAATATCCAAGTAAGTAATGACAACTTTAGTCACCTATTCTACCACGAATGCTAATTTTACTCTTGTCCATGGTTTCCAGGACCGACTTTCTATTAGCTTCGGCACTGGAGTACGAATGCGTCGCTTTCCTGTTCAGCAATCGCGAGGTTTGCAAACAGCATACATTTACTTCCATAGAGAAACACAATACAATACAACACTGGCTGACGTTTCGGCAGTATCGCCTTCTTCAGAGCCTGGAGGGGTATACTGATATACAATCTATTGGCCAAACGCTTCAATAACACTTTAAAAAAAGACGAAAAACTCTATGGTAATTACATTATCAACAGCTTCTCAAAAAAACCCACCGTTTTTTTTGTGACTTCCAGTGAGGAAGTTTAGAACAGCTGATTATAGTCGCATATGGTTGACGACTGCACCATCCCACATCAAAAATCGATGCGAACATATGGAGTCAGGTCGCGTATGACCTCCGGGCTTTCATCCCTGCTATTGGAGGGTTTTTTGGAAATTATCCAAAACGCCTCAAGAAGTTTTCGCGCTGCTGTTTTAGACTTCTGTGCAAGGATAATGACTTTAAAATTGTCTCCGCTATGCTTTTGTATTCTATGCGTGCCTAGTGGGTTGTTTCGTCCTAGTTTTCGTTTGCCATCTAGGTGTGCTTTTATACGGATACACAAAGGTCTGCCCGTTTCGCCAATATATTCATCTCCGCAATTATTACAAGAGATCAGGTATATCGTCTGAACTTATGCAATCACCGTCCCTGCCGTAAGGGCAAATTACGTAATTCGTTGTTTCACACAGATGGTCATACAGGCGGTTGCGAACTAATTGACGACGTAGAGTAGCCGGTGGTATTTCAACTACCGATTCCTCTAGACCTGCCTTTCTTAAGCATCGTTTTATAGCTACGCTTATTTCATAGCTTATAAAAGGCAACATAAACGGGACTTTCTTTTGGCCAAGTGTTTCACGTGGACATGTCGCTCTCCTTCTAAACTTATCTCGCGGGGTTACTATTTCGTAGCCACTGGAGAAAATCATCGCTTATTTTGCACTTTAAAATCGATAAATCAACATGTCCCGTTCTATACCTACTTATTAAAACACATATGTTGGTATCACCTGATAATCATTCGTCAACTAATCTGTCATCATTTAAGGTTAAACCGATTATCAGCTGTGTAGACGGGCCAACGAGTAGAATAACATGGTTTCTAAGCCAAATGCTAACCCAGTTGCTTAACCACGTTCAGCTCTCCTCAAAAACGCCCAAATTTTCCTAGAACGTTCACGTAACGCGTCTTCTATTAACGCGTACGCGACGGAGTCTTTCGACGTTACCGCGCTTTACACCAACGTATCGAATGACTCCGCAATGCAAGCCATCTTCGAACTTCTTATTGAACATGAAGGAAGAATAGGTATGCATGGCTTGTCCATCCATCAGCTAATGGTTCTGTTAAAGGAGTGCCTAAACTGCTCGGTTTTCAGATGCTCTGAAGAATATCTCGAGCAAATAAGAGTGTTGGCAATGGGACAGCGACTGGCACCAAGCCTTGCCATTGTGTTTATGTCTAAGATAGAAGCTTCTGTTCTCGATCTCCGACCACTAATCTACTGCAGATATGTAGATGACACATTATACTTCCATGTGATTTCTGTGCGGTTAGTCTCTACGTGACATACTTAGTGGAGACCTCATAGAAAGCGGCTCTGAGGAAGGCGAAATCCGCCGAAACGTCAGCTCATTCGTGAATAAAGAATAATAACACCTCGCGTTTGCTCAACAAAAATACGAAGAATTACTTGATCAATGCCGAGGTTAATAGAAAGCCGGTTATGTAGATGATTGTTTTGTCGTCATCTCTACGCGTGAGGAGATGGACAAATGCTTTGAATTATTGAACAAGCAGTCTGGGTACATAAAGTTCACCCAGGAAAAACCGAGAGAAAACTGGCTTCCGTTTTTGGACGTTCAAATAAACCTATCAAGTAGCGGTTACCTGACAAATTGGTATTGAAAGCCAAGTAGCAAGAGCATTCTTGTTCATTTCCTTTCTTCCCACCCTTCACTCACAAAGAGGGCGATTGTGAGAAACATGTTTCGAACAGCCACGTCTGTGTGCACTACAAGGGAACTAAAGGAGAAATCGCGCGCCTTGGTTCGGCAAATAGCCGTCTCCAATGGCTACGTAATAGTAACCCCACAAGATAAATTTAGAAGGAGAGCGACGCGCCCACGCAAAACACTTGGCGAAAAGAAAGTGTCGTTTATGTTGCCTTTTATAAGCGATGATGTAAGCGTAGCTATAAAACGATGCTAAAGTGCGTAGTTTGTCCTTACGACAGGGAAGGTGATTGCATGAGTTCAGGTACGATATACCTGATCTCTTGTAATAATTGCGGAGATGAATATATTGGCGAAACGGGCAGACCTTTGTGTATCCGTATAAAAGAACACCTAGATGGCAAACGAAATTTAAGACGAAGTACCCCACTAGGTACGCATTGGAGCATAGCGGAGACGATTTTGAAGTAAAAGTCAATATCCTTGCACAGGAGTCTAAAACACTAGCGCGAAAACTTCTTGAGGCGTTTTGGATAAATTCAAAAAACCCTCCAATAGCAGGGATGAAAGCCCGGAGGTCATACGCGACCTGACCCCGTATGTTCGCATCAATTTCTGATATGGGATGGTGGAGTCCTCAACCATATGCGACTGTAATCAGCTATTCTAAACTTCCTCATTGGAAGTCACGTAAAAAGTGGTGAGTTTCTCGAGAAGCTGTTGATCATGTAATTACCACAGAGTTTTTCGTCTTTTTGTAAGTGTTATTGAAGCGTTTGGCCCAATAGATTGTATATCAGTATAGCCTTCCAGGTTCTGAATAAGGCGATTCTGGAGAAACGTCAGCTAGTGTTGTATTATATTGTGTTTTTCTTTGGATGTAAAAACCGCGCGATTGCTGAACAAGAAAACGGCGCCTGTCCATAGTACTAAATTTGCTATTGGCCACATGGCTGAGTTTCTTATTGCAGCTTTCTACTCGTCCGAAATTACGAAGCGAACCATGTTTTCCTTCTAGCATTGTTGTCTAACCATTAGATCAATGTATGGCTATGCCTGAACGGGATCCAGTCGTTTCTATCCGGTTTTCGATTTTTTAACCTACTTGGCAGCATCTCTGAGAATTGATTATCGATGTTGGTCGGAACCTTAAATCTCCTCCCTCACTTACTCAGCGCAGGATGCACCTCGAATTAATATTCTATTAATGTTTTCGATAGCCTTTAGTAATCATCGTCCGCAAATCCCAGCGTCTAATTTTCCAAGGCATACTTTATTGTTCGAAGAACCATAATGTCTAGTACATCTTAGGTAATTTTTTCGGTAAGTCCTTCATTTTTTTGGCTCAATTCTAGAGCTGTATCGTTCGTCATTTTAATCTCCTTACACAGTTGCACATAGTTGAAACATTCAGAGATATTCGTTCCATTAGGAGTGCGTGCAACATCTGAAACGAATACGTTTTTAATAAAGATCGTTGTCTTAAAACCGTCATATCTCTCTGTGCTATTAAATTGGTCGAATTTCTCCGATTAATGATGATGATGTCCACGGATCTCCCTCATATGAGGGATCTTGAGCCGGTTAGTCGCGAGGCTACGTGGCGCGTCCGCAGGTGGCGGATAGAGGGTTAATCGCGGACCAAAAGCGACCTTTGCTTCCATGAGGCGCAAGTGGATCCAGGAGATGGACTCTCTGTTTTTGCTGCGCTGAATTTGCACATACTTTCTGCATTTGCTAGACGTATTCATGCATGCGTGTGTGCGTGCGTTCTTGCTTATGCGGATTGTATTTTACGATGCAATACGGCTAAAAGCCGGCAATGAAGTGACTGGGAAGTATATGGGAGGCGGTTAGGAGTCGCCTCCAACAAATAAGCTCCATGTCCACTCTGGTAGAGCCTGGCAAGCTACCCGTGGGTGTACCCAGCCTCCACCTTCAGATCCCAGCAAGATATGCGTGGGTATCGAAATGGTAAACACAGTAGAAAAAAACGGGCCTCATTCCCGAACCCTGAAAGTGCCCTCAATTTCGCAGCGTTGGGTAGGACGAGTACGGAGAGTGTACTAAAATCTTTGGGCCCATGGAAGCTGCCTGGTTTACAAAGAACTATGGTGACGATCTGTACCTACAATGCACGTACACTTGCATCCGAGTCCTCAATAGAAGACTTGCTCATGCAAGCAGGAAGGATAAAGTACGACGTCATTGGCCTGGCCGAGATGAGATGACGCCAGCCTTTCAACGCCGTCTTTGACACCGGAGAAGAACTGTTCCTCGGAGGATGCGACAGTAGCGGAGTCGGCGGCGTCGGCGTTCTCGTGAACACGAGTTTCTACATGGACATCGATTCATTTGAACAGTTTACAACCCGAATTGGACGCATACGAATAAAAAGATGTGAATCAATACCGGCTTTGACAATATTCGCCGTTTATGCGCCAACATCAAACTATGGCGAAGAAGAAGTCGAAGCGTTCTATATAGACTTGAAGAAGTTCTACAGAGAACACCACGCATTCTTCAAGGTCATCATCGGAGATATCAAAGCCAAAATTGGACCAAGAAGAACGTCTAAAGAGCGTCACATTGTGACTCACGGATTGGAATGGAACGAACAAGGTGAGAGTCATACTGAGTTTACCATGGCGACCAGATATCCATGGTAACTCGCAATTCCAGAAGCACCACCCTCCGCGCTGGACGTGGGAGCTTCCCAATGAATTCTACCATAACGAAGTATACCACATCATAGTTAATAAAAGGTTTTGGCAAACCGATGTCGCAGTTATCCCAAAATTCTATAAGGGGCTAGACCATCGTCTCCTTCGTACAAAATTCTATTCCTTGCGAAAAGGAGAAAAAGCCGTTAAATTCCAAAACCGAAGGCCCAGAACCACCGCAAACTGGAACTTATTCAACTCGTTAGTCGGCTACTGGAACGATGCCGATGTCGATATTATCGACGAAGAATACGATCGGCTCATTCAACATCTTAACGTTAGCACTATGAAAGCTGAGACACCGAAACTCACCAAGAGACGTCTGTCTTCAGAAAATGCTTTGATCGCGCAGTATATTAGAAATTCCATCACCAAAGTTATCGAAAAAAAGGAAAAATTGAACAGCATCAATGTAAGATAGGATAAGACCAGAACACCTAATGAACCTTCCGCCAGTCCTCGTAAACACACTGGCTCGGCTGTTCACACGTTACCTGTCTGAATGCAAGGTCCCTACACAGTGGAAGACTGGTAAGACCGTGTTATTGCTCAATAAGGGTAACCTCAACATGATGGGCAACTGTCGCCCAATCTGCTTGCTGTCTGTCGTCTATAAACTTTCCACTCGAGTCATCCTAAACCAGGATTGACATAACAGTCCAAACTAGACGAAGGAGAGCCATGTGAGCAAGCAGGGTTTCGAAAAGGATTTAGTACGATGGGTTACATCCATACGGTAACACGGCTCAATGAAGTATCGCGAGAGTGAAAAGACCGCTATGTTTCACTTTCATCGATTTACACAAGACCTTTGATTGAGTTGAGATAGAAGCAGTCATGGAAGCCCTTTATAGCCAGGGAGTCCCTGCTCAGTACATACAGATTCTTCTTGAGCTGTACAAAAATTTCACAACCAAGATATCACCATTCTACAACGACATTAACATTGATGTTAAAAGAGGAGTTAGGCAAGGCGATACCATCTCACCAAAATTATTTATCGCCACCCTCCAGAACGTCATGCGAACATTGGAATGGGATAATATGGAGTGAAAGTCGACGGCCGGCAGTTACACCATCTTCGCTTTGCTGATGACATCGTCCTTATAACACCAAACATTAGCCAAGCGGAACTGTGACTGCCGTCTTTGATAAAGCCTGTGGAGAGACTAGTCTTGGACTAAATCTCACAAAAAGAAACCTCATGAGGAACGGATTGGTT